AGAGTAAAAGCACAAGTTCTGACAGTGACCTCTGAGGGCCCTGGAGGACTGGCCTCTGGGAGTCTCGGACTTCCTCCTGTCTGCTCCAGCCACGCCGGCCTCGGTACCCTACACTCACTGTTCCCTTTGAAGGCAGGCTCCTCCCTCAGGTGTCCGTCCACCTGGCTTCTTTCAAGTCTTTACTCACATGTCATCCTCTCCTGATGGCCTTGGTTCTTGCCCAGCTTTATTTTTCTCCCTAACAATTACCACCAGTCAACATTCAACATATTTAGCTTTTATTTCTCATCTTTGTTTACTGTCTGCCTCCTCCATGGAGAATGACAGCTCTGCTAAAGCCAGGGTTTTTGTCTGTGTGTTCACTGCTGTACGCTTGGTGCCTGGAGCAGGATGTGGAAAACACTGCTGCGGTTGTGTGCCATCGAGTCGGTTCTAAGTCACAGAGACCCTCTTTAGGGTTTCCTGAGGAGCGGCTGGTGGGTTTGAACCACTGACCTTGTGATTCAAAACACCTTGCTTATCCTATCTGTGGAATGATTGGGTCAGAAAAATTAAGAAGTGCAAAACGATGGTTTCTGGAGCTTATATTCTGAAAGCAAAGGGAAGCCATGGGTGTTTTTAAGTCGAAAAGTGAGATGAAAGGTCTGTGTTTTCTAGGATAATAATGAGGGTGACAGGAACAGAGTGGTGGCGGCGGGGGTGTGGGTAGAAACAGGAAACAAGAAATCCCACTAGGGACCACTTTATGGACCTATGACAGCTTGACACAGGATGGTGGCAGTGGAGGCAAAGAGGAGGAGAGGTTTTGAAGGCCAGTTGACAGGTTAAAATGCACAATCTTGATTTTATGCATCAATCTTAGAAGACTGCATTTGCTTAAGTGCTTTTTTCCCCTCATATACACCAATCAATTCACAGAAAATCAGTTCTAATGTTGATGTAAAGGATGGTTCTGAATCGTGGCTTAGATAACACCAAGCTAGCTGATTGCTGTGCTAAGGAGGCATTTAGGCCAGGCGGTTACCAGGGACTTTATCAAATGGTGCTCTCCTACTGGCTGTGGTGCTGTAGGATAAGCAATGGACTGCTAACTGCAGGGTCAGCAGTTCAAGCCCACCAATTGCTCCTTGGTGGGTTTGAACTCGGTGGCATGAGTTTGGCTAATGGTTTTATTTTTGTTATAGATCTTGGAAAAAGCCTCTTCAGTAAGGTGATGGGATTCATCACCACTATCTCTTTATTCCAGCATCACATTTCAGTTCTTTTGTTTGGTTTCAAGGTTCTCATTCAACTTGAGAAGAAGGACTTCTTCCCTTCCTTTATAAGTTCCTCTCACAAAACGTGCTAACCAACTAACCAGCCAATCCAATCTTTTATCATCTATCTCCTCATCCCTACTGCTCTTCGTTCTGCTTACGCCTCACATACTGAACTTCCAGTTCCAACTCAGAGTCTTATTTTTGAACCATCTTTCATCCTGAGCAAAAATGCCTGGAAAATCTTTCTAGGACCCATTTATAAGTCACCTCCACCCTCACCTACTAGTCAAAGTACGTCTCCTATATGTGAAGGCCATTCTTGGTACGAAAGAATCCAGAAAAATGTACTAGTCCTTGAAAATATACTTTATATTTAATTGTAATAATGGAAGTCATAATCTAAAGGGATTTGGAATCTGTCCTGAGGTAGTACCAACAGGTACTCAGGAGACCCAACTTGAAGTCCCTGTGGTAGACACTGACTGAACCACAGCAAGAATGTGGAGGGTAGGCCCTTCCCTTCACAGTGGCATCTGGAGGAAGCTTAATGAAACGGTTTGTTCCTTAGGAGCGGTGGTCCTTCATTAAGGTAATAATGCTATAATTGGAATCCCACTGTAAAAGCCTCTCCCTCAAGAAGCATCTATTGTCAGATTTAGAAGTCCAATTAAATATGATTACAGCTAGGCTAAAAAACAAAAAAAACTAAGAAGCAGCCATGGTTAGCAGCAAGCCTGCAAACAATTTTCTGTGGGTGAGGGGCAGCTGACACAACTCAGCAGGCCCTGAGGCTTTCTGGGACAGCACACAAGGCCCCTCATGACTGGCTCTGATCCACCTTCCTGCCACCTCTACAGGCCCTTCACCTCATGTGATCTCTTCTCCTCAGACTCCAAGGCATCTGTGTCTAACACAGTCCACCCACTCTTCCCTCATTCTCCACTTGAAGCGGAGTCCTGCTGTGGCGCAGTAGAATCAGCATTTGACTGCTAATCGCAGGGTAGAAAGTTCAAACCCACTAGCCACTCCTTGGAAACCCTATTCAGGGTTGCTATGAGTCAGAACCAGCTGGATGGCACTTAACAACAACTACTTGAAGAAATCTACATAACTTCCAGGTCTGGTTTATTTGCCTGCTCTGTAAAGCTTCCCAGGCCTCTCTGCTGGCTCTACAAATTGGAGGTGGTTAGGTGCCATCGAGTCAGCACTAATTCATAGAAACCCTATTACCACAGAACGAAAAACTGCCCGATCTTGTGCCAACCTTCCAAATGTTGCTACGTTTGAGCTCATTGCTGATGCCACGGTGGCAATCCATCTCTTTGGGGGAGTCTTCCTCTTTTTCTCTGGCCCTCCACTTTGCCAAGCATGATGTCCTTCTTCAGGGATAGCTCACAGTATGTAACTATGCATACTAAACTGGGTTTAGGTCTCATCACAAGTCTTCTGCCATCTTTACAGAGTTGTGTAACTGGTTAATGTGATTAGCTGCTAACTGAAAAGTCTGGAGGTCCAACTTCACCCAAAAGGGAGGCCTGACAATTGACTCCCAGAAAACCTACCATTAAAAGCCCTATGGAGTACAGTTCTTTTCAGACATAACAGGTGTGGCCATGAGTTTTTGACCTTTTCAAAGGATTCTGGGTGGAATCTGCCAGTGCCTGTTCTATGCAGATGCTGGAATTGAGCATGTCTGTTCCCATTATTAATCAGTATTAAGATTTGAGGCCTGCAGTGGACAAATTCAAATAATCTCTCCCCCCTGAGGATGATCTCCCCTCAAAATAAATAACAGACACCTGATTTCTTCCTGAATTGGAAGCATATTTTAGGTATTTGACTATAAACTTCATGCTAGCAGGGCCTAGATTTACTTATTTGTTCATTGTTGTATCCTCAGACCCTGAAACACTGCCTGGTCCATGGCCAAGTTCTAACCCACGTTTGCTGAGGGCATCCACGTCGAGCCTGGTGCCCGATTCAGTTGACACTCACTGCAGCTAGGCTGCAGGAATGCATGAAGTGGGAAAATGGAGCACTTCTCTTTAGGTGAAAACCAAGACTCTCCTGGTAAACACACACCTGCCTTCTTTCTCTGAAGCCCCCATTTCCACCCCTTTGTCTCGGTTTGTGTGTGACCCTTGGAAACAAAAACCCCCGCTTTGTCTTACTGAACGCAAAGGATTCTCAAGAAATGCAAAACAACATTAACCTTTTCCCCCCAGTTGTATTTGACATACCAGGTGAGTATACACCTTGAGGGGGAGGGTGTGGGGACGGGGAGCGGCTCAGGAAGAAATTCGTTCAAAATACGGACAATGATAAAAAGAGATGCCTTCACATGTTCAAAATCCTAAGCCCTGCCCATTTTCCCCTAGAGAAGCAATTCTCAACTGTCTGCATTGTGTCCCAGCCCCCTCTGGGGTAGCCCTTTCTTCTGTGCTGGCTGGCATTTCCCAGAGAGGGGCCCACTTGTGCATGCTGGGAGCAGCAGCTACTGCAGCATCAATAAACTGACTTCTACCCGCATCTGTAAAGCCTGGTAGAGCACTTCAGAGACTGGGGATTTGTCAATTTTGCCTCCACCAACCCAGCCCTCCAACGAGTCTCTGGGCTATACCAACTGGAAAAGAGCCTCTTTATGGGTGCGTTTTTATGTTCTCTGAAGATGACCAGAAACAATCATCAAACAAACCCCCCCCTTCCCCCCCGAAAAAAAAAAAAAAAAAAACCTGAACAAAGGGATTACAGATTCATCTGCCCTTGCTGGCTCCTCTGACTGCAAAGATACGACTACAAGCCCAGGATTTGCAAGAGACCTAAATTCCTCATTAATCTCCACTATCGCTTCTATCACTTTTTTTTTTCTCCCTAAAGCTCTTTTCTCAGGCAGAGAATAGGGGGAGGAGGGGAGCTATGCTCTTTCTTCACTCAGCAATAACTGAAAAATATGTCCTTAACATTTCAAACAGCAGATCGTGCGGTGCTCTGGCCACTAGAGCGTGGAGGTGAACCGACACCAGTGTCCTTTACATCATCATCTGTCTGAGCTAATGAATTTAAGCCTGGCTAACCTAACCCATGGATTCTTTGGAAAGCAAGAATCTGATCATCCAGGGAAATCTGAGGGCCTCGGAGTCTACAATTTTTTTTTTTTTCTTTTCTACATTATACTTGCTTTTGTATAGCACAATCCTGGTGATTCAGAACCAGGCAGTGAATGGCTTATAAATTACATTTTTCACATGTGGCTCTGCTCTCTGGCCATCTGGAGCTGGGGCCTGCAGAGAGAACAGGTCTTTGCATCTTTCTGCCAGGCTCACTCCATGGGTCAGTGCTACAGTGTCATCAGAAAGCAGTGGGGGTCTTTCTCCTCTTTCCCAGACATGTCTGTAAACTCTGCTTGGGCAGAGGCTCTGCCAGGGCCATTTCCGCTCTGGGAGCCACAGACACACACTCCTAGCAGGAGAGGAGAGATTCCATGAACGGTGGGGGACTGAAGTATCCATACTAGCTACTAATTACATTTAGCCTGGCACACAACTCATGGTGGCTGCATCTCCACACAGCCACACTGGCTCTCAGCTTGGCTTGTCTGGCTAATTACTTGCCCATGTTTGTCGTTCACCTGCTCTGCAGAAAGCTTGGGATGGGGCTAAAAGGCATCTAGGTGAGGCTTCCCTACATGGAGTTGAATGAGCATCCAACCAGAGGCCCTCCTGGGCTGGGTCCCGCTCTTACCTGGGTATGGCACTCTTCCTTTGGTGACCAGCTCTGTAAGTAAGATTCCAAAAGACCACACATCAGACTTGATTGTGAACCTCCCATACAGGGCTGCTTCAGGGGCCGTCCACTTAATGGGAAACTTTGCACCTGCAGAATGGACACCTGGTTATTCGTCAGCAGGGACACCACACCGCTTCTGGGGCAGTAGGCATGGGGAGGGGTAAAGAGAAACACGGGCAGTCACTTTGGTGGGAGCAAATTTAGACAGCAGAAAAGACCGAGGTGACATAAGGAATGGGATTAGAAGATGTGGGTTCTAGTCCTGCCTCGTGACCTTAAACAAGCCAAGTTACTTTTAATTTTCCCTTCAAAGGGTTGGACTTCAAGGTTCCTTAAAGTCCTGGCTTCTAGAACTTGTCTATGACAATACTGAATGTCTTCAGTTTCACTTGCTATGGGCCTAACCTGTGGTTTAGGAAGCTAAATTATGCTGTATTTTTACGCAAATAATGTGTGGGTCATATGGGTTTACTGTGCAACCCCCTTGCAAATGAGTTTCCTGTTTGCTATTCACATGATATGCATGTGCGTATTATTTCCGTGGACATGTTACATGTGAAAAAATACAGTTTTCCTTTGCTTTGAAACAATACTATATTTTTATAAACACACACAGGATTAAATCAATATGCTACCTTCACAAATTCCTTGGTACAGCTAAACCATAGTTTGGTCTTACTTCAGTACACAAAAAACGAAACCAAACTACTATACTTTTCTCAGGGTGGAGCCAATTAGATGCAGCCCATGTGTTATGCTGAAACAGGGCTATTTCTTCAAGGCGTCCCACATGCACAGCAGAGAAATGATTTTGCCTCTGGTGACTTCCTTCTCTGTACTTTCTTTCTTCCCTTCATACTTCCCTTGTGGGGCCCTCTTTACTTCCAGAGCAGTTTATTCTACTATACTGTTGTAACCACTTCTTACCTCTCTAACTCTCACCTACCAGTCAAAGAGTATACTATTTAATGTTTGCAGGCTTGGATGACTGTCTTATGATTTCTCAAGACTAAAATTATCCCCTCTCCAAATCAAGTGGAAGAGTAGGGTCCACCCTGCCCTTTACAATGTAAGCTGTATGTACAGGGAGTTAATACTGATTTAGGAATTGCCAACCAAATGACATATATCCACCACCATCCTCACCCTCACACACTGTTGTTGTCAAGTTCCCATGAGTCCGTTTCGACTCATAGTGACCCTGGATACGGTTTTCCAGGAATGGCTAGTGGATCTGAAGTCATTGACCTTGCAGTTCAGATTTACTTTGTGGTCCAGTGCTTTATCCTACAGTGTCACACCAGGACCCCCTCTCACACATTAGGCACAACAATTATAAAGCAGTTAGTTCATTACCAAAGTAAAAGAAAAACACAAGGGATTCTTATTGCTGACTTAAACACAATTTTATGTTTAGAATATGCTAGTTCTACTTAGGAGCTTTGAAAAAAAAAATCATACAAAGGACAACAAAACCAGAATTTTTTTAGTGTTTCCCATGAAAAGTTATGATGTGCAAAAGTGGCAAACAAAAAACGTAAAATTAGCACAGTTCAATAACCAGAGGTATAAGTTATAGCAATAAGGTTTTTGTTTCAAGTACAGAATGTGTTAACAACCTTAGCAAATTTACCCTAGCATTTTCTTGCAATATATTTTTCCTCTTCAACTCTTGTCTGCCAGTGTGATATGAAATTAAACACGAAAATCCTACTATTTCATGATGTGGTACCTTACATCAACATTGAAACAGAACAGTTGTTCTATAGCTTTCATCTCCTCTTTTGCACTGAGTTCCTTTTAATTAGCTATTTTTTTCTTAAGCATAATTATTTACATCTTTCCTTTAAGTGCTGGATGACTCATTTAAGGCCTGGTGGTAGTCACCGAACATTTTTGAAGTCATTTTGGTTTTTTTTCAAACTTTCTTTCAAAGTATTTTCCTCACCCCTCCTATCCTTGAGTTTTCTGTTCATGCTGCGCTGGACTCTGAGCCCCTGGGATTAATGTGATAGATTTTCTTCAGCGTCGAGAGCAGACTTTACCCTGGACTAAAACTCAGCTCAAGTTCCCTTACTTCAAGGCGAATCAGAGGTGTATTAAACTCATCCCTATTTAAACCACCTCTGAAGCCAAATGGCTTGGAAACCTATGTCTATCTCTGAAGCAACCAGAACACTTTTCTGGGCTGTGCAGACAAATCCGATAAATCTAATCACAAGCAAAAGGAGCCTTTCTTCCTTCTTGTACTCACTGAACATTGATGAAAATGAATGATTAAAACTTGGATAAGTCATTTTGGACTTTTCAAGGGATGGTGTTTCATCATTTCAGATTAAAACAAAAACAAAAACAAATATCAGTTTTGTAGCCAGTTCCACCAGTCTACTTGATTAGTTAATAATCTACAAGGATGATATGAATACCTTTAAAAAATAAAGTTAAAACAAAAGCTGTAAAGTGTAATGGGTCTCTGACAGGAAATAACTGGCTGATAACATGCTTTGGCTTAATTGTAGTAGCTTATTTAAATAGACTTTCTTGTATTAGTTTTCGTTCTAATGTATTTGGAAGACAAAAACAAAAAAGAGAGAATGTTCTTTGTCCAGATTCCCTTCTTTTTTCTGTTTTAAAATAGCAGCTACTGTTGACAAAGCGTCTTGTTTCTGAAAATAACTCAGCTTTTCCTTTTCAAGGAAGACAAACAGTTAAATTCAATCAGAGATGATCTTTAATCATTAATTGAGGTTTCATCTGAAAAGAGCTAATCGATGTTCACTTTTCTAACTTACCTCATCACTTCTCTTTCCTCTCATCTCAGTTTTCCAGGCAGCTCTAGTGGGGAAGTTAACAGCTGGGTTTTGGTGGGGGTCTTTGCAATGACTGTGCAGGCTATGTGCTGTGGAACCACAACTGTGTGAATGGTGCCCCCGCGATGCCCCTCCCACAGCCTACACCTCCCATAGGACATCCTGCTAAGGGCTGCAATGGGCGCCGTCTAGGGGTGACATTAGAAACGTTCAGAAACTTGGGAGCAAGGGTCTTCTGAGTTAAACATGACCTTTCTCCTGAAAAGAAAATTCCACCCCCTCAGATTTTTTCACAGATATCCTGGTAGGCATAAAGTGAGAATCAAAGTTAGCTTCTATGTAGTACGGATTTATAAAAGGCCAGAAAAAGCCACAAAATCTACGATACAATTAAATTGATATTGTTATATAACAAGTTCTTTGAAATTCTCTCCTTTGGGAGCTGGATTCAGATATCAGCACAATACCCTCCTCTATTCCCAGCGTTATACCGGAAGAAATGCAGACAGTGATGATTTTTCATAAATAGATAGCAGGCTTTGCTTCCAAGGTGATTCTAGGTAGATTTGAACCTCCATACTTTTATTAGCAGCTGAGCATGTTAATGGTTTGCACCACCATAGATTTGGAATCCAGTACACAGAGGCTGTATCCTATAAACTCTGTATACTAGGTATGCATGAATATTTGAAAGGGTCTTTCCCATTGGTTTCCAGGTAGTATTTACAGTCTCCCAGGATAAGGTCATCCTTGAAACCCTGTCTTGGTATTGTCAGTGGGGCTTGGGTCCTGGAACCACTGCACTGGTAAGAGTATCTTTGTACACTAGTCACTAAACTCACTGGAACACCATAAAAGACCAGTTAGCCTTGTTCTTATTCTTAAGCGCCGTCGAGTCAGTTACAACTCATAGTGACCCAAGTATGGGGATTCCAAAGAGCAGCTGATGGGTTTGAACCGCCAACCATGTGGTTAGCAGTCCAGTGCTTATCCTACAGGACTCCTCCAGTTAACCTTAAGAGGAATGATTTTCTGCAGATTTATACATACAATTTCTTTATACTTGTGTACATCTCAGTCTTGATTCTCTAAGTTGTTAGGAGAGATGTAAACAAGTGGTCAGAAGCCACTCCGTGCCTTCAATGACTGTCTAGACTCCAATGATGCCCACATTGTGTCACCAGATGGGATCTCCCTCTTGATTTTTGTACCTGTATTCCCTCAACAGCTCTACTGGGAGTTTGTAAAAGGCTCCTCAAATGCAACATACAAAATTAATCTCCCGGCTCCCAATTCTGTTTCTTTATCATTCTTAGAAAGCTACCAGTTGCCAATGCTAGAGTCCTGAGAATCATCCTAACCTGGATGCGATGTCTGCTTTTCATCTAGCTCAGGACACCTTTACTGAATGAATCTTTAGCCCCTCCTACTTTATCATTTTGAATATTGAGTCCATCGTGAATTCCTATCAATTTTAGGTCCTTGGATGTGTACAGTCCTTTCACTCTTCCAGGATCACTGTCACTTGCCTATACACCTATAATAGCCTTCTAATTGAATCTAGTTTTTTTTTTTTTTTTTGGTTACCCTGGTTCCCCAGTCTCTCCATTGCTCATCTCTGACTGCTTGGCAAATGCTAACCTCCTATTGGCTTCAGGGCCACCAAGCAAACTGCTCTCTTTGCCCAAAATCCCCAACCTACCCTCACCCCATGGTTAATTCCTAATCCTTTCTTCTTTGCCTAAATCACTGGTGATTGTTGTTGTTAAGTATACTGAGTTGGTTCTGACCCATAACAACCCTGTATAGGCTGAGGAGCAGCTGGTGAGCTTGAACCACCAACCTTGTGGTTCAAACTGACCTTGCAGTCTAGTGCATTAACCCACAGCACCACACCAGTGGGGAATCTTTTTTCTGCTAAAATTTTTAACATCATCCACGGGCTATAGGAAATTATCACCTTAAAAATTAGTCTGCTATATATGGTCAAACACTTAATTAACTCACCCCTAGAAGATGTTTAAGGAGCTCTAGTAGCCTAGTGGTTATGAATCAGGCTGCGAACGTTAGGGTCAGCAGTTTGAAACTACCAGCTGTTCTGCGGCAGAAAGATGAGGCTTTCTGCTCCTGTAAAGATTTATAGCCTCGGAAATCCTGTACAGGGTCGCTATGGGTTGGAATAGACTCGACAGCACTTAACAACAACAAAAGATGTTTACCTGTGCTTTATTGACTACGCAAAGGCTTTCAATTGTATGGATCATGACAAGCTATGGA